ATATGTTTTTTTGAACAATTCATTTTGAAATCCTTCCGAAACCGAAGTCTTTTCAAAGGATTTCGGCATGCGCGGGTGACGACGCGCGCGCGCGTGCACTTCGTCTTCGTTTTTGTTGGGGAGGATTCTCGCGACGGCACGCGCGCAAGGGGGGTCGAAAGATTTCGACATGTGCGCGCGAAACCCGTTTTTTTTTTTTTTTTTTTTTTTTTTTTTTTTTTTTTTTTTTTTTTTTTTTTTTTTTTTTTTTTTTTTTTTTTTTTTTTTTTCTCTCTTCTTCTTCTTCTTCTCCGGCAAACCAACCTAAGAGCGATGTGTATAAGCATATCTGGAAGCATCCCCCTTAAGATTCAGGTGAGAATCAAGTTGTAGAATTTTGCTGTTCTCGCAGTCGCAGTCGCATTCGCAATGACAGTCGCAGTGGCAACGGCCTTAGGATCCAATTTAATCCTAAGGGTTCCTAGGGATTCCTAAGGCATCCTTAGGCATCCTGAGGAATCCTTCGGAATCCTTAGGAAACCTTAGGAATCCTTAGGAATCCTGATTCCTAGGGATTCCTAGGGATTCCTAGGGATTCCTAGGGATTCCTAAGGATTCCTAGGGAATCCTAAGGATTCCGAAGGATTCGCCTGCCTCGGCCTCAGCCGCAGCCTGCCTCAGCCTCAGCCTGCCTCAGCCTCAGCCTCAGCCTGTCTCAGCCTCAGCCTGCCTCAGCATCAGCCTCAGCCTCAGCCTCAGCCTGCCTCAGCCTCAGCCTCGGCCTCAGCCTCAGCCTGCCTCCTCAGCCTCCTCAGCCTGCCTCAGCTCAGCCTGCCTCAGCCTCAGCCTGCCTCAGCCTCAGCCTCAGCCTGCCTCAGCCTCAGCCTGCCTCAGCCTCAGCCTCAGCCACAGCCTCAGCCTCAGCCTCAGCCTGCCTCAGCTTCAGCCTCAGCCTCAGCCTGCCTCGCTTTGCCTCAGCATCAGCCTCAGCCTGCCTGGGCCTCAGCCTCAGCCTCAGCCTGCCTCAGCCTCAGCGTCAGCCTCTCAGCCTCAGCCTGCATCAGCCTCAGCCTCAGCCTCAGCCTGCCTCAGCCTCAGCCTCAGCCTGCCTCAGCCTGAGCCTGCATCAGCCTCAGCCTCAGCCTGCCTCAGCCGCAGCTTGTCTCAGCCTCAGCCACTGCCTCAGCCTCAGCATCAGCCAGCCTCGGCCTCAGCCTCAGCCTCAGCCTGCCTCGGCTTGCCTCAGCCTCAGCCTTGGCCTCAGCCTCAGCCTCAGCCTGCCTCAGCCTCAGCGTCAGCCTGTCAGCCTCAGCCTGCATCAGCCTCAGCCTCAGCCTCAGCCTGCCTCAGCCGCAGTCTCAGCCTGCCTCAGCCTCCCGAGCCTGCCTCGGCCTCAGCCTCAGCCTGCCTCAGCCTCAGCCTGCCTCAGCCTCAGCCTCAGCCTGTCTCAGCATCAGCATCAGCCTCAGCCTCAGCCTCAGCCTGCCTCGGCTTGCCTCCGCCTCAGCCTCAGCCTGCCTCGGCCTCAGCGTCAGCCTCTCAGCCTGCCTCAGCCTCAGTCTCAGTCTGCCTCAGCCTCAGCCTGCATCAGCCTCAGCCTCAGCCTGCCTCAGCCGCAGCTTGCCTCAGCCTCAGCCTCAGCCTCAGCCTCAGCCTGTCTCAGCTTCAGCCTCAGCCTCAGCCTGCCTCGGCTTGCCTCAGCCTCAGCCTCAGCCTGCCTCAGCATCAGCCTCAGCCTCAGCCTGCCTCAGCCTCAGCGCAGCCTCTCAGCCTCAGCCTGCATCAGCCTCAGCCTCAGCCTCAGCCTGCCTCAGCCTCAGTCTCAGCCTGCCTCAGCCTCAGCCTGCCTCAGCCTCAACTTCAGCCTGCCTCGGCCTCAGTTTGCGTCAGCCTCAGCCTCAGCCTGCCTCAGCCTCAGCCTGCCTCAGCCTCAGCCTCAGCCTGCCTCGGCGTGCCTCAGCCTCAGCCTCAGCCTGCCTCGGCCTCGGCCTGCCTCGGCCTCAGCCCGCCTCAGCTCGGGCATTCAAAATATGACACATGACTGGTGTTCTGGGAACACGAAGATCACGAAGTGGCCCACAGTTGGCTCCGGGCAATCAAAATATGGTACAGGAGTGGTGTTTCGGGAACGCGCTCCGGGCATTCAAAATGTGGCCTGGGAATGGTCTTCCGGGAACACGAAGAACACGAAGTGGCCTACTGTTGGCTCCGCGCAATCAAAATGTGGCCTGGGAATGGTGTTGTGGGAACACGAAGAACACGAAGTGGCCTACAGTTGGCTCCGGGCATTCAAAATGTGGCCTGGGAATGGTGTTCTGGGAAGACGAAGAACACGAAGTGGCCTACAGTTGGCTCCGGGCATTCAAAATGTGGACTGGGAGCGGTGTTCTGGGAATGGATTCCAAAGGATTCTGAAGATTGTTTAAAAGATTCTTAAGGATTCCTGGGGCTGCACTTTTGTCCGGTTTCTTGTCCGGATCCCGCCCAGACCCCCTTGGGGCGTCAAGATATTTTTTTTTGATCCCGCTAGAAACCTATCAGCAAAAGCTGTTAGGTAAAAGCAGTGTTGCGAAACCATGTGTTTTCGGTATGTTATTTTTGGAAACTCGATTTTGACATCCTTCCGAAACCGAAGGCTTTTGAAGGATTTCGGCATGCGCGCGCGACGACGCGCGCGTGTGCTCTTAAGCGAAAACCTATGATTTTTGATGAACGAATGTGCGCGCATAGTTTTTTGCAGAGGATGGCGGGGGGGGGGGGGCAATACCAGTTTGGCTGGGGTAGTGTGAATCAATTTACAGGTAGGTTGGGCATGGTGTCAGAATCTTATATGTTTTGCATCGGTTCCCGGGAGATCTTTGGACCCCCGGGGAGGGGAGGGTGGTAGATGTTTTTTTTCTTTTTTGGTAAAACATAAAAAAAGAAAAAATAATGTATGCATAATATATACACATATACCTTAATGAGTTGTCCATTCCACTGCTCGCGCAAACATCCCACCCACCCACCCGCAACTTGGTTTGCAAACCTCATGCGGCGGCGATTGCGATGAGTGCTTGGCGCTGGCTGATGCATCTTTGTGGCCGCGCCAGCCCGCGCACGCGCGCGCGCGCAGCGGCCAGGTAGTTTGGCGCGGCCGATGAGGCCGCGGTTGTGCTGACCGTTCGGCACATCCCAGCGGGCACTTGAGTGCGAGTCGGCGGGTTGGGCGTGTGCGGTATCATGGCAACGTCGACACCTGTAGACACGATGACGATGATGGTGGCGATGTTGGTGGCGACGCTTGTAGACACGATCGTGATGATAGTGGCGATGACGGCGCCGATGCCGATCACGCGTCGGTAACAGGTTTTGGAAGGAATTTGAAATGCGCGCGCGGCAGGCGCGAGAGTGGCTCGCATGGTATTATTAGACACGGGCCGTGCCACCCCAGCACGCGCGCAAGGGCGTTCGAACGAGTTCGGCATGCGCGCGCGCGAAGCCCGGTTGGTAGCATGGTATGAACATGATTAAACAACTTATGGCTTTCCAAAGAAGTCGCAAGAGCGCGCGCACGCCTTTGATGAACATCCGCGTTGCGAAACCTTGTGTTTTCGAATGTTTTTTGGACACTGGATTTTGCATCCCTTCCTAAGCCGAGTTTTTTGAAGAGTTTCGGCATGCGCGCGCGACGACGCGACGCGCGCGTGCGCACTTCGTCCAAATTTTTACAAAAAGGAATCTCGCGACGGCACGCGCGCAAGGGCGTTCGAACGATTTCGACATGCGCGCGCGAAGCTCGTTTGGTTGTATGTTCTTGAGCATGTTGAACCACCTATGGTTTTCTTAAGAATTCGCAAGATCGCGCGCGCACGCTTTTGTTGAAAATCCGTGTTGCGAAACCGTGTGTTTTTGATATGTTTTTTGGACGCTCGAGTTTGAAATTTCTCCAACCCCGCAGGTTTATGAAGGATTTCGGCATGCGCGCGCGCGAAGCTCGTTTGGTAGCTTTTTATGAACATGATTAAAGAATTTATGGTTTTCCAGAGAATTCGCAAGAGCGCGCGCGCACGCCTTTGATGAACATCCGTGTTGCGAAACCCGGTGTTTTCGTATGTTTTTGGGACACTGGTTTTTGCATTCCTTCCTGAACCGAGGTTTTTTGAACGATTTCGGCTTGCGCGCGCGACGACGCGCGCGTGCGCACTTCGCTTTTTGTTGGCAGAGGATTCTTGACACTTTATGATTTTTGATAAACGAGTGTGCGCGCATAGCATTTTCTGCAAGAAGGATTGTGGGCGGGGGGGCGATACCGGTTTGGCTGGGATGGTATGAAATCGCAGGTATGAAGATTGGGTCAGAATCCTATGTGTTTTGCATCGGTTCCCGGGGAGTGGATAGGGTGGTAGAACCTGTCGGTTTTTTTTGTAGAAAGGAGAATCCATGTTGTGTGATCTCTACGTTATGCAATCTATGCGGTGCGATCTGGGTTGTGCAATCTATGTGTTGCGACCTATGCTGCGCAATCTTTGTGGTGAAATATATGTGGTCAGATCTATGTGGCACGATCTGTGTTGTGCAACCCATGTGGTGCAATCTGCGTGTTGCAATTATGCGAGGCCGCGACCAGGCGGCGACGGGGCGGCGACGGCGGCGACATAGCCGCCAGACCAGCGGTCAGGCGGCGGCGACGGCGGCGACATAGCCGCCAGACCGGCCCGCCGGCCAAGACGACGGGCGGCGACGAGGCGGCGACAGATGGCGGCGACGGCGGCGACATAACCGCTGGAGCAGCCCGCAGGCTCAGACAACGGGCGGCGACGAGGAGGCGACCTGGCGGCGACGGCGGCGACTTAGCCGCCAGACCAGCTCGCAGGCCCAGTTGCTCATTCCAGAATTAGGAACCCCTAAGTGCAAGCACTGCTTGGCAAATTGGTTGATGCCGCAGCCCCTTGGCTTGCCTGGTCACGTTCTCATGGTGGGCTTGTGGTTTTGTGCTTCTGCTACTCGTCCTCATCATTCCTCCCATCCCTACTTGTATCATGTTTGGGCTCACGAGCCTGGTCAGCCCACCGGGTTTTCGCTGCGACCCCCGCTTTTCCAGTGCAGACCATGCCCTGCTGGGTCGAATCTTACCTGACCACCAAGAACACGTTCTTGGACTGCAAGTCGCCGTGGCAGGAAAATGTTGTCCTGCGGGGGGAAGTCATGAGTTCCACAATTTTTCGGTGTCTGTGAGGATCGGGTGTGGCCAGGACCCCGGGTAAGGGGACCCGGTTAGTGGTAGGGCCCCGGAGCCTTCGAATTGGCCAGATTCACTAAACCAGGTTTGCCGTAACCGGTGTTTGTCGGGTGACGGCAGTTCCGGTTAGTGGAAATGGGACGGGGGGGCGCTCCCGGTACAGATCACTAAACCAGGTTCCACTAAACCCAGTTCTGCCAACGCCCGAGAGGATGGCTGAGAAAACCTCTCAAAAGGCCCGAGGCCTCCCGAGCCTGCTGAGAAGGCACGCCCCTCCTCACTTCCCCCCTGGGCTCGCGGTCGAGACACATATCCGTACCTGCGATCTGGCGGGCCAGGCCCCTGGGCCGCGACCCCCGGCGGATATGGGGCGTTTCTTCGCGGCTGCCTTGTGCGGCGCGTATCCGTGCGACCGCGTATCCGCGGGATCGCGCCCCAGAGCCCGGACCGCGAGGGCGCGGGTACGGACATGCTCGCCGCTCACGTGAGGTGACCTCGGTCTCCTCCTCGACAGGCTCCACGGCGGGGCCCGGCTGCGACCTGCGCGACGACGCGCAGGATCGGCACCACTCGAACGCGTTTCTACGAGATGTGCTCCGGCCACGCGAGGTCGACGCGCACGCTCGGAAACCTCATTGTATAAGGTCTGTGGCGGGCGCTTTCTGGTTATACCGCTCGGGAAACGATATACCACAATCTTCAGTGCTACATGTTCGGGTCGGGCGCGCGTCTCCAACAGGAGGACACAGTTCGAAAAACAACAAGCAGCGTACACATAAACTTTTGGAGCTTCGCGTGGGTTTCTCGGGTCGGCGCTGGAACTCCCTCCCTGGCGCGAGACCGTCAAGGGCGGCGCTGGAGGCGCCGCCAGGGGGCCCCAGCGCAGATCCGAGAAACCCGCGCGGAGCTCCCATACTTGTGCTCCTGCCGCCTGTGGCTCCCCTGAGATGGTACCAGTGTGCCCCTTGTGCGTGCCACAGGATAAGGGGGCCACATGCGAACCCTAGCCCCACCCCCCACGATTTCTGGGGGGAAGGGTGGGGTTCGCATGTGGCCTCCTCCTCCTCCTCCTCCTCCTCCTCCTTCTCCTCCTCCTCCCCCTCCCCCCATAAGGAGGCCGAGCTGCGCGACGACGACGAGGCCGATGGTCCGTCGCAGACTCGCCTCATCCGCCTCCGCCCGCAGCGCTGCCCGGGCGGGCCCTCCGCGGCCGCCTCGCCGCCCGGGCCGCCCCCGCGCACGGGCGCCGCGTCGACCAAGGTCTCGCTGTGAGGGCCCCCCGGGCTCCGCGGGCGGCCTGCCGTCGCTGCTCGTGCCTGGCAGACCACTGATGAGGTGATGGTCGCACAATATTCGGGGCTGGACAGACCTCCTGCCCTGACACGTCGATTAGTGAATTGGCGGTTTTCGGTTCGCGGGAGGGCGTCGCGGCCGTCGGAGGTTTGTCCAGCGCCGACCACTGGCGATGGATATGTTCGTGTCTTTTGTGCTACTTTTCTTAAGTTCTTCTGCCGGGCCAGTCTTTTAGCGTGCTTACCGCGCGTTCCAGCACTTATTAGGCCCTCCTCGGCTATGCTGTGCGTTGGTACCTGCCCGCTCATGGTCCGTCTCGCAGTCTGTTCGTTGGTGGCATTCGATTTGCATTGCGACTTGCCCCCTCCCCCCCTACCCTGTGCCTCTTCCGAGCTCCATTGTTTGCGGCGGACTTCGCTCTTAGGCCGCCTATGGAGCATATTATGTTCCCCTTTGCCTATTCCCTGGGCTGCGTCGTCGACTTCAGCCGATTGCCTTGCGCAAAAGACGCGTGTTGCAAGCCTCGTGGTCCTGTCGGTGGAGTGAGCACCAGCCAGGGTCCGGGCCCAGGAGGGAGGATGATCAGATGCAACTTGGGGGGGATAGGCGCAGGGGGATGCATCGACCCCCACTCGCCCATTCATCACCGATGCGTTGGGGCCCGCTAGCTTGGGGGGATAGGCGCAGGGGGATGCATCGACCCCCACTCGCCCATTCATCACCGATGCGTTGGGGCCCGCTGGCCCCACCCCCTGCCCAGGACCGTGCGGTTTCGCCATTCGGGGACCCTCGTCGATCCATCGGCGATGCACTGCCGATCCAAGGGTGATGCTTCCCTCCTGAGCCGGTCCCCCCCCTATCGTTCCCCCAGCTCTTTGCTCGTCAGAGGAGGAGACCGAGGAAGGAGGAGGATGAGGAGGAGGAGGAGGCAGCCATATATATAGACATATATGTATATATATATATATATATATATATATATATATATATGTGAATATATGTGTGTATATATATATGAGTGACAGAAGAAAGCGGGGTCGACTGCGCGGACACTCGCGCGCAAGGCTCCCGCGTGAGGCAGCGCGCCAGGGGCCCCGCCTCCGGCGCGGTGCGCCGCGCCGGCGGGCCCGCGTATGTCGCCTTGTCGCGTACAGGCTCGCTGCCCCGGACGTGCGGTGCCCTGTCTCTCTCCCTTTGCGGGCTCCCCGGAGGTCCCGCCCAGCGCCCTGCCCTGGGGGTGGCTTCTCGTCGCGGGTCGTGCCTCGACGGTCCCAGGGCCTGGCGAGGGCCCCCGGGGGGCCGAAGATGGCCTCAAGAGCTTGCCGTCCTTTTTTTTTTGGTGTTAAACAAAAACAAGTTATATATATAATTTGAACGTGCGATCATGCCTGGCTGAGACCCGGTTCTTGTCGTCGATCACACGGAGAGCGATTCTTTATCCCCCAGGCGTGACCTGGGGGGGGGGCAGGGGGCGGAGAAGGGGCTAGTCACGTCACGAGTCGCGGCGGCGCCGCCTGGGAATGTCTAGGGATGGTTCGTTCCCACACGGCGCCGGCGCGAATCGTGACGTGATCTATCGGGCTAACTTCGGGGCCATACTCTCGAGGAGCGCACCCATGGTACGGAGTGCAAGCTCTCGAGGAGCGAACTCATGGTACGCGCCGTTGGTCCCGGCCAGAGCGCGTTGCCTGCCTTCTGCCCCGCGGGGGCACGCGCGTTCGACCAAATTACCTTTCATTTGTCGCGCCCCTCTATGGGGGCTCCGTATATGGCCTCGCTGATTCAGTTGGGCCAATCCGCCAGTTCGCGTCGGATTTGCATGCCCTTATTTTGGTCCAGGTATACCTTCTCTCGGGGCTCCGGGGGCGCGGGTGCCGCCGCGCATTTTCTAGAGCGTAGTGGCCCTGTGAACGTGGACCCCGCCTAAATTACATCGGGGCGCGGGCCTAAAGCATTTACTCGGAGATCGTCGCCCTTAGAGCGCGGACTTTTTGTAACTTCTCGACGCTTCGCGTATCCCCACCAGTCCGTACCCCCCTTGGCTCAAGCCCGCCCTTGGTACAGGTTCGCGCCGGGCCGGCCCCGTCGCGATGGTTTCGCGCGCCCCTCTGGCGCCGCCCCGCGGCGGCGGCAGCGCCTGGCCGCCGCCGCCCGCGACGGGTCGCCCCGCCCGGGCCCCCCGCTTGCCGCTGCCGCGGCTGCTGCTGCCGGCGGCGGCCGGCGGCGCGTCCCGCCGCCGCCACTGCCTTCCCCCTGGAGGCCGGCGCGCGGGCGGCTGGAGGCGGCCGGCGGCGGCGGTTCGGCCGCCCCTGCCGCGGCTGCCCCTGCTGCTGCTGCCCCGCCGCCCGGCCCTCCCGCCGGCGCCGGTCGAGAGCCCTGGCTGCCTGCGCCGCGGCCGCTGCCGGCCTCGGCCGGCCGCGGCGTCGCTGGCGCGGGCGGCCGAGCTCGCGGCCTGCGCTGCCGCGGCGCCCGGCTGCCTGCTCTACGGCTTGCCCCGCGGCTTGCCCTGCAGCCAGCCCCACGGCCAGCCCGGCTGCCAGCCCGACGGACAGCCCCACCCCGACTGCCAGCCCCGCGGCCAGCCCGGCGGTCAGCCCGACTGCCAGCCCCGCGGCCAGCCCGACTGCCTGCCCCACGGCTCCCCGCGGCGCGGTGGCCGGCGCCGCCGCCGCCGCCCCCGCGGCCGCCGGCGCCGCGGCCGCTGGCGCCGCGGCCGCCGCCGCCGCCGCCACCACCGCTGCTGCCGTCGCCACCGGCTCCCCTCCGGCGGCGGCGGCGGCGGCCGGCGGCGGCGCCGTGGCCGGCGTCTCGGCCGCTTTCGGGGCGGCCGCTGCTGCTGCCGCTGCCGCCGCTGCCGGCTCCTCGCTGGCGGCGGCGGCGGCGGTTGGCGCGATGGCCGGCGCCGCCGCTGCGGCTCGCGGCCCGTTCCTCGGCCTGCCTTTCGGTCAGCCTGGCGGCGCGCCCCCCGGCCAGCCTGACTGCCGGCCCCACGGCCAGCCCCGCTGCCAGCTTGGCGCCCCGCCTACGCAGGGCGTTTCCCCTGAGACTGCCTTTTCTCTCCCCCCCCTGCCCATGATTCCTCGAGATGCAACGGTTAGTCGCCTACACCAGGAAGACTGCGAAACGGGTCGTTTCCACTCGGAAGAGCGCGAAGATAGTCGCGAGTCGCAGGAGGAGGAGGAGGAGGAAAAGCAGGAGGAGGAGGAGGAGGAGGAGGAGGAGGAGGAGGAGGAGGAGGAGGAGGAGGAGGAGGAGGAGGAGGGGGGGAGCAGGAGGAGGAGGAGGAAGAGGAGGAGGAGGAGGAGGAGGAGGAGGAGGAGGAGGAGGAGCAGGAAGAAGTCAGGGAGGACCTTGCCGACCGTCCAACAAAACCCGCTGGCAACGCGACCCCTGGGAACACCCAGCCGCCTCGGATTCCAACAGATTCTGCGATGATCGTTCACAGTCGCGGGGCAAATTGCGAAATGGGTCACGAGCCATAGGAGAAGGGGCAGGGAGAAGACAGAGAGGACCTTGCCGGCCGTCCAACACAACCCATTGGCAACACGACCTCTGGGAACACCCGGCCGCCCCGGATTCCAATCGCCTCTAGCTTCTGCGATGGTTAGTCGCTTCCACCGGGAAGAGTGTGAAGGAAGCCGCGAATCGCAGGGTGAGGGGCAGGGAGAAGACAGAGAGAACCTTGCTGACCGGATTCCCCGAGATGCGACGGTTAGTCGCCTACACCAGGTAGATTGCGAAATGGGTCGCCCCCACCGGGAAGAGCGCGAAGATTGTCGCGAATCGCAGGAGGAGGAGGAGGAGGAGCAGGAAGAAGTCAGGGAGGACCTTGCCGACCGTCCAACACAACCAGCTGGCAACACGACTCTTGGCACACCCAGCCGCCTCGGATTCCAACGGACTGTGCCACGGTCAGTCGCCGCCGCCAGGAAGAATGCGATGATAGTCGCGAGTCGCAGGGTGACGGGCAGGGGGAAGACAGAGAGGACTTTGCTTACCGTCCAACACAAACAGCTGGCGATACGTCCCCTGGGAAGACCCCGCCGCCTCGGATTCCAACAGACTGTGCGATGGTCGTTCATCCATGCCGGGAAATTTGCGAAATCGGTCGCGAACCACAGGAGAAGGGGCAGGAAGAAATCAGAGAGGACCCTGCCGACCGTCCAACACAACCCGCTGGCAACACGACCCCTGGGAACACCCAGCCGCTTCGGATTCTAATAGCTTCTGCGACGGTCAGTCGCCTCCACCGGGAAGAGTGCGACATGGGTCGCGAGCCGCAGGAGAAGGGGCAGAGAGAAGACAGAGAAGACCTTGCGTACTGTCCAACACAACCCATTGGCAACACGACCCCTGGGAACACCCAGCCGCCTCGGACCCCGAGGGATTCTGCGATGGTTAGTCACCTACGCCGGGAAAAATGCGGAACGGGTCGCGAACCGCAGGAGATTGGGCAGGTAGAAGACGAAGGAGACCATGCCTACTGTCCAACACAACCCACTGGCGATACGACCCCTGGGAACACCCAGCCGCCTCGGATTCCAACAGACTCTGCGACGGTGAGTCGCTTCCGCCAGGAAGAGTGTGAAGATAGTCGCGAGTCGCAGGAGGAAGGGGGGCCCACCGCTGGGGGGGAGACCATCGAGGAGACCATCGAGCAGCCTTCCCCTGACGAGCGGGACAACGAAACCATCCTTCAGCTGGTTTCGAGGAGCCCTTTCGCCCCTATTCGCCCCCCCTCTCCTGCCAGCGACTCGACACGGGCGGGCGCCTCTACAGGCAGCCACGGGGCAACCCCTGCATCTCTGCAAAGCGCGCCAGACCCCCCCCGCTCGGGTGGGGACGTGAGTTCGACTGCCCAGACGGGCCGGCAGCCCGACCGGGGGGCATCCTTGACGCGTCGGACGGGAGGTGGGTGGACGCCCTGGCTGTTCGCCGATCGCCAGCATCCAGGACCACGGGGTTCCCGCACTGGACGG